CCAGGCTATAGGGCTGCTTGGAAGGTTTCCGGGAGCTGGGGCCTCACCTAGGCCCTTCGGGCGATAGGGCTGGCTGGCTGACTGGAGGGTTGGGCTGGGGGGCCTTTTAAGCCTAGTATTCAATAACCGTTTTGATAAACATAAAAAGAAACGAAGGAAGATGCGCGTAAACATTTACATCTATACCAGTACTCTCAAGATTATTAGACAGAAAGTCATGAAAGCATATTGCTTACGGGATACTCCATATATGCATATATTATATTACCCATGTATCCATGACAGGTGTAGACATATGTATGTTGTGTTTATGCATAACACCACTATGCATGTATGTCAATATTCAGTTGTATGGACGGACAAGCTTGCGATACACAAAGACTCATCATGGATCTCCTGAGCGTTTTAGGAACAGAACATAAGACATTACGGGCCCCATATTTTCGAAACTCTCCATTTGTGGCAAATTTGTATATCATGGTTAATAGCTCTCCAGCTTGTACTTAGTGATATCGGAACTCAATACCAATCTAAGTTCATGTCTTGCTGTTGGGGTCAACAGCCTTCTTAATTGACTAGATTTATTCGGGTCATCACCTATCTAATTTGTATTTTGTTGGCTATGGGCCAATACCCATCTACGTTGATATTCATGTTGGTGAGACTCGACAATGAAATAGATTCATGATCTGCTGTTGGGTGTTAATGCCCAGTCAAATTCGGTTTTGTTGCTGTCCAAATACATTCTATCATTCTTGTGGATTACTATTATCTAAGTTGTTATCGTTTTTAGATCATTATCTAGTGTGAAAACAGGGAAAAAGCCAGGTTTACTCGTAAAATATGGGGCCCGTAATGTCTTACACTCTCTTTAGGAAATATTAGAAGGCCAATGCCTTCACATCAGAGAGAAGCAGCAAAGTCGGAAAGCCGGAAGTAGCCAAACAGCATGTTGCATGGCAAGACCCAGCTGAATCCTAAAGATAACCTGGTTGCAGAAACCCCAAATTATGGAATTAGGCCATTGGAAGTCAGATCCTCTAAAGCAGTTCATGGGTCAAGCCCACATATGAGATGATGAGTGCGAGATCCAATCTTCTGTAATAAGCGGATGCCAAGGATAGCCATCCCCGAACCAAAAAAATATGGACTCGTAAACCTCTTCGAGAGGAGATGATGGCTGGCAAACCCCAAACCCTATGAATAATGGCTGGATCTTCAAAACTTTATAGACCACAAGGCATTAATGACTTCGCACATGCTTAAACACCCGTCTGGCAGTCTGCACATCAACATCTTTGTTCGTGACTTCTCGACCGGTCGCCCATGATACATATTGAGTCTGAGTTTAAGGTTCTGGTTTTTAGACATAAAACAAGAAGCATGTTTAAGACAGTGATGGTATTTACATATATTTATACAAATGTATGTAAACAAGCACATACACACACACTCATGCAGCTTGGGTTCATGCATACCAAATTCTCTGGGTCCATACTAATCCAAATACAGTCTTATATATCCAAAAGCAACAATTTGAGCATGTGAATGTCGCGGGTCAATAGCCAGTCAAATTAAAGCTGTTGTTTATGTTGTACTGGGCCGTTAGCCATCCGAGCTCAGTTCGCTATTGTGGGCCAATACGCATGTAAATTCAGTTCGTTGTTCTTGCGGGTCAATACCCATCCAAATTTAATTTGTTTGTGTTGCCTTTCGATATGGATCAAAATTCAGTTTCACGTTATGGGCCGATACCCATCCAATTTCGATTTGTTGTTCTTGTGGGTCAATGCCCACTCGATACCTTGCTAAAATCAAGTTGCATTCTCATGGATCAATGCCTCCTGTACTCCGTGATATCGGAGCCCAATACCAATCCAAATTCATGTCTTGATGTTGAGGTCAACAGCCTTCTTAAATGATTAAGTTTAGCGTGTTGCTTGTGCGGGCGTCAGCTCAGCTGTTGAGGGCAACACTGCCTTAAGACGTTGTAATGCTGCTTGCTGGGAAGTATGCGCAAGACATTTCTAGAGTAAAAAACTCGAGGAAAAACACGGAATTCCTCGAAAACACGCGCCGCCACGGCGTGCCACTCTCTAAGAAAAAGGACCCTAAATTCCGGCCCTAACTTAGACAACTACCTTGTAGCACCCTGAAAGAAACCCTGCAGAAATCCTTGTTGATCCCTTCCTTTAAATAAGACCCTAAAGCCTAAACCCCAAACCAAGAACCCCAAACCCCTAAACCCCAAACCCTAAACCCCTAAACCCCAAACCCTGAACCCTAAACCCTGAATAACGACCCGAAGATTTAAAAAAGGGAGCCAGGTGGATGCCGACGAAGCGGCCGGAAGGCTGACCTTTGTCCCATCGCTTGAGGCCGGCCGCCTCCTGCGGTCTCTTACGCCTTAGGGCTTATAGAGATTTAGGGTTTCAAGGATAGGGGTTTAGAGTTGAGAGTTTAAGGGCTTTAGGGCTTTAAGGTTCGGGGGTTTGGGGTTTAGGGTTTAGGGTTTAGGGGTTTGGGCTTAGGGCTCTAGGGTTTTAGAGATAAGGGTGTAGGGCTTAGGGTTATTTACGCCTTAGGGCTGTAGGGCTGTAGGGTTGTAAGGATAGGGGTTTAGGGTTTAGGGTTTCGGGTTTAGGGCTTAGGGGCTTAGGGTTTGGGGTTTAGGGTTAGTGGTTTGGGTTTAGGGCTTAGGGTTTCAGGATTTGGATTTTAGGGTTCCAAATATAGTTTAGGGTTCAGGGTTTAGGGGTTTGGTTGTAGGGCTTAGGGCTTTGGGCTAAGGGTTTGCGGGTTTAGGGTTTTAGGGTTTAGGGGTTTGGGGCTTAAGGGTATTAAGGGGCTTACGATTTGGGGTTTAGGGTCTAGGGCTCAAGGGTTTAAGGGTTTAGGGTGTTGAGGTTTAAGGGTTTAAAAGAGCCCGTGGGTTTAGGGCTTCAGGTTCTTGAGCTTTGGGTTGTTTTGGTTTGGGAAGACCCACTCCGGAAGTAAAGAGAGACTGAGTTTAAGGATTTCATTTTTGAGGATTCCAGAAAACCGTTGGGATGTGATGTTTTTGTGTCTTTAGTTTGTCGTCCTTTGAGAGCCTCCCCCAGAAGACAAGCAGTGGGGAGAGAGGCACCGGGTTGGCCGTTTCTGCTTCCGGTGTTTAGGGTTTAGGGTTAGGCTTGAAACTTTTCCATGTCACGTTCTGCTTCGATCGTGGCCCCCAGCCGTGCTTGAGCATCCGTTGCACTTAAAGCAGGCAGCCGCCTGCTTTTTGCAATCCACGCAGGAAGCTTAGCAAAAGTATTCCGCATAGACGGCGTGCATGGTGCGCACGCACGCGGCTTCGCGGCACAGAAGCAGACAACGATGCAACGAAAACCGAAAAGCAGAATGGAGGCGAAACCGACTGGAATGGAAGCCGGCACAGAACTGAAAATGACAACCGAAAACGGAATGAACGCCTTGGCCAAGCAAAACAGAGCAGAACAGAAACCCTAAACAGACACGGAAGATGACATCAGCCTTCTTTCCTACATGAAACTTGCCGTCCAAGCCCTGAAACCTAAACCCTAAGCCCTAAACTCTAAATTAAACCCTAAACCCTTCGGGCCCTCAAAAATGAACTTCTGGAGGTCTTGACCCCGTACCCTTTTGCTTGACATCCGAAGTTAGCAGTGACTCGGAACCCCACACGCTGAACACGGCTTAGGGTCTAGGGTTTAGGGTTCGAAGCCCATACACCAAAAAAAAACAGCAGAACCGTTTCGAATCTTTAACGGAACTTTAGTACTTCTCGTCACGGATCCATCCCTGGACGGAGACCCTAAACCCTAAACCCTAAAAACCCTGGACGGAGCCCTTAAAGCAAGCACCTCAAAAATCCGTCCTCGTCCATTTCCTCGGCCTCGCCATCTGCTGCTTGGGAGAAGATGTCCTTAGTTTCCGCCTTGCCGGTGGGAGTTTAGGGTTTAGGGGTTTAGGGTTTAGGGTTTTAGGGTTGAGGGTTTAGGGTTTAGGACGCAGGGTTTAGGAGCACTGGAAGGGTTACCATAAGCGGTACGGGAAGTGCCAATATCGTAAGGGTTGCTACAATACGGGTTCTTTAAATTATAAATCCCTAAACCCCTAAACCGTAGAACCCTAACCCCTAAACCCTCAAAGCTCCGAAGCCGAAGCCAAACTCCGTAGAACCCTCTGAAGCTATTTACACTCTAAGGTCCTTCGAGGCCCTCATGAACATCTGCTTAGGGTTTAGGGTTCAGGGTAGGGGTTTAGGGGTTTAGGGTTTAGGGGTTTAAGGTTTATGAAAGGTTGCAAACTCAAAAACTCAACTTCCCCCTCCCCTCCGCACGCCACACCCAACCCGCTAAAAAACAATGTCAAGCGAGCCTTCGGTGGCTGCGCTGCCGATGAGCCCTCGGGTGCCGGAGCTGCGTCTTCCTGTCCCAAAGAGGCTTCGGTGTATAGTGGTTTGGGGCTTAGGCCTAGGGGTTTCGGGCTAAGGGTTTAGGGTTTAGTTCAGGGTTTGGGTTTTGTGCGAGTGGACTGACACATTCTGATAAGGATTGATGTCCAGGGCTTATGTCCAAGGGTAGTGCTAGCGTGGTTGATGCCTCTATGCACAGCAGGGATTCAGGGACCAGGGTCTCATCAAGGTGAGTCTTGCACTTGATAGCCTTGTAGTCAATTCCTTGCGAGGATGCCGTACAGAACGACGGCTAAAACTGTCACTCCTCGTGCATTTTATGTGCCATCAGCTTCATGCTCACTTCCGTAGCAGCGATGCGACCCTGAGAACGACTGCGTTCAAGCACACGTGAGTCGATCCTTGCAAGATGGATTGCGAGGTCCACTCGGTCCTATCACCGAAACGTCAGAAACACAAAAATAAAATCCAGACCCGCGGCCCTACACCCAACACCCCAAACAACAAGGCCCACAAGAACGTTATACCGCCCCGAAAACTAAGGTATCGAAGTCCAACTGCCGTGTGCACCCCTCTCCTGCTGCTCCCATTTGATGACCAACTTATAAAACCCTTCAAGCCCATAACTTAGGGCCTTTGAGAATTTCTTAGAACAGGGTCCACAGGGTATCTTGTAACTCCTGTAGTTATGATAGGACTCCTAACGAACAGTGTTGTTGGTTACTCAGGCTTCTATATTATAGTCGACACTACCCTAAAGCCTAAACCCTGAACCCTAAACCCTACCTGGGCATCCAAAAACCCACCGTTTTCAGGGTTAGACCCTATAATGAGGGGGTCATAACCTACTATTTCGTAGGGTTTGGGCATTCACCCTAAACCCTAAACCCTATATAAACCCTAAACCCCAAACACCAAACCCTAAACTCTGAACCTTAACCCTAAACCCTAAACCTTAGACCCTAAACCCTAAACCCTAAACTCTGAACCCCTTCAAAAGGAGTCCTCTGCTTCGCCGCCCGGGCCCTGCACTGCCCCAGGTTGCGCAGCCATGGCCGCTGCCATGGCAGCAAAGGCCTGAGGGGCACGCTGTCTGAAAGGTTTAGGGTTTAGGGTTTAGGGTTTAGGGTTTAGGGTTTAGGGTTGGGGTTTGGGGTTTAGAGTTTAGGGTTTGGAGTTTAGGCTTTAGGGTCTGGGGTTTAGGGTTTAGGGTTTAGGGTTTGGGGTTTAGAGGTTCAGGGTTTCGGGCTTGGGGTTTGGGGCTTACGGTTTAGGGTTTAGGGTTTGGAGTTTAGGCTTTAGGGTTTGGGGTTTGGAGTTTAGAGTTCAGGGTTTAGGGCTTCAGGGTTTAGGGTTTAGGGTTTGCGGTTTGGGGTTTGGGGTTTAGGGTTTAGGGTTTAGGGGTTTTGGGGTTTGGGTTTGGGGTTGAGGGTTCCACAATCTAGAGGCCTGCTGAACTAATGTAGGGTGTGTAGGATAGTTCTCTACATTAGGGTCCCTTTTAGGGTCCTGTTTATAAGGGTGCCGGACTATATCGGGGACCTAAAGGGGGACCGCAATCTAGAGAACTACCCATATAGCAGAAGTATAAAGAGGAATTCTAAGGAATAGAGTCTTTCAAATTTTCCGACACCTGATATGACCGTTTATGGTTGGCAGACTTAAAAAGCATGCAACATGAACCCGAAATCCCAAACCCTCATCATGTTAAAGTAACTACAGGTGGGGAGCTTAGGGTATATAGGGCTTCTGAAAAGCTTCCATAAGGTATATAGACCTTCTATAAGGCTCCTATAACGGTAACTGCCCACCTGAACATATGGGCTTACCTCCAGCGACCTGAGACCACAACAAGCTCATGGGTTGAAAGCCGAGGTGACCTGCACACCCCACAAAGATTCAAACCCCCAAACCCACAACACACTAAACCCTAAACCCTAAACCCTAAAACCCTAAACCCTCGAAACCCTAAGAGCCCAAAAAGCCCCAACACACTGAACCGCAAAAGCCCTAAACTCCGAAACCTAAACCCCTTTTCCCGAAACCCTGAATCCCATGCCCTCAAGAGTGTTTCCCGATGGGCCTAAACTAAACCGCTAAACCCTAAACCCTAAACCCCTAAACCTCAAAACCTAAACCCTAAACCCCAAACCCCTAAACCCCTAAACCCCTAAACCTCAAACCCTAAACCCTAAAACCCCTAAACCCCTAAACCCAATTTCCTAAACCCCTAAACCCCTACACCTCAAACCCTAAACCCTAAAAAACCCCAAATTCCAAACCCGGGGCCTCCTCCTCACCTTCGTCATCTTCCATGGGCTCCTCCTCGCCTTCTTCGCCCACCTGTCTGTCGGGGCTTTGGGGTTTGGGGTTTACGGCTAGGGCTTAGGGGTTTGGGGTTTACAGCTTGGGGTTTAGAGTTTGGAGTTTAGGGTGGGGGATTTGGGGTTTAGGGTTTAGGGCGGAGGGTTTAGAGTTTAGGGTTCAGGGCTTGGGGTTTAGAGTCTGGGGTTTAGGGTTTAGGGTTTGGGGTTTGAAATTTAGGACCCTAAACCCTAAACCCTAAACCCTAAATTTAGGGTTTGGATTCCCCGAGGGTCTATGGTTCCCGCAAAGGCTGTCGGAAGTGCTTATAGGGTATTGTTCGGGCTGATGAAAGTTTTCCTGGGGTATACCCTAAGACTCCAAATAGCCCAAAGTAGGTACCATTTATAGACTTTAGAGTCCAAAGTAGGTACTACTTGTAGACTTGGAGTCCTAGGCTTAGGGTTCCACAGCATCTTCTTCAGAATTTGGGTACCTGAGGATTCGGATTAGGGTTTAGGGTTTAGG